TTACAGGGAAATTGTAACACTGAATTATATTATTGAATGTTAGAAAAGAAGACATCTAAAATCAATATGCTAAAAAAAATTAAAAAATAAAATCAATATGCTAAGCTTCCACTGTAGGAAACTAAAGAAAGAGTAGTAAATTAAATTCAAATAAGCAGAAGAGATGAAATAATAACAGAGCAGGAATCAATGAAATTGAAAGAGAATTAACAGAAAATCAAGGAAATCAAAAGTTGATTCTTTGAAAAGATCAATAAAATTGACAAATGCTTTTCTAGGATAACCAGTAAAAAGGAGAGAAGACACAAATTACTAACATCAGAAGTAAAAGAAGGGTCATGCCTACTAACCCCGTGAACATTAAAAGATAATAAAGGTCAAGAGAATGAGACAAGTCCAGACCAGGAGAAAATATTTACAAAAGTTATATGTGATAGAGTCTGATTATCCAAAATATATAAAGAACTGTTAAAATTCAACAATCAGGAAGCAAACAACCCAATTTTTAAAATGGCTGAAAGACCTGGACATATCAAGGAAGATATAGAGATGGCAGACCAGTGTAAGAAAGGATGCTCAACATCATGTCATGATTACTGTAATACCTTCCCAACGGTTCCCTATTTCCACACCTGCCTCCATATGAAGCCAGGGTGATCTTTTCAAGTCACAAATCAGATCAGGCCCATATTCTGCTCAAAAATATGGTCTGGGAAGACCCCACATGCTGAGGGACAAGTAAGCCCACACACCTCAACTACTGACCTCAAGCTCTAAAGCCCATGAGCCGCAACTACTGAGCCCGAGAGCGGCAACTACTAAAGCCTGTGTGCTCTAGACCCCTCGTGGTCTGCAACAAGAGAAGGCCCGGCAATGAGAAGCCCATGCACTGTCACTAGAGAGTAGCCCCCACTCGACGTAACCAGAGAAAGTCCTCGCACAGCAACGGAGACCTGGAGCAGCCAAAAATAAATAAATAAGTACTTTTTAAAAAGAAGGGCAATATGTTAACTGACTATGAGAAAATTTAAGGGACAGATGAGACATGTTGAAAAGGTCTAACAGCAGTGTCTTAAGTCAATTTTCTTTTTTTTTTCAATTTTCTATTAATACTAATTGCAATGATAACTCATTCCATAACTTTTTCTTCATACATAGAGCTTTAAGATTACAGGACATTAAAAAAACTATTTAAATGTATAATAATATTTGTGGTAGGGAATTTGATAGGATAAAGTACCAAAAAGAATAAATACTATCAGGAATAAATGTAACCAAGGAAGTAAAAGATCTGTACAGCAAAACTGTAAGACACTGGTGAAAGAAACTGAAGAATATGCAAATAAATGGAAAGATATTCTGTGCTTGTGCTTTGGGAGAATTAATATTGGTAAAATGCCCATACTACCTAAAGAAACCTATAGATTCAATGCAATCCCTATCAAAATTCCAATGGGATTTTTCACAGAAATGGAACAATCCTAAAATTTGCATGGAATCACAAAGACCCAGAATAGTCAAAACAATCTTGAGAAAGAAAAAAGCTTGAGGCATCATACTTCCCAATTTCAAACTATATGACCAAGTTATAGTAATAAAAGACAGTATGTTATTGGCTTGAAAACAAACACAGATCAGTGGGACAGAATAGAAAGCCCAGAAATAATCCACAGTTTTACAGTCAATTAATTTACAACAAAGAGCAAAGAACATTGAATGAAAAACTGTCTCTTCAATAAACAGTGCTGGGAAAACTGGCCACATTCAAAAGAACAAAACTGGACCTCTGTCTAACACCATACACAAAAATCAACCCCACATAGATTACAGACTTGAACGTAACACTTGAAATCGTGAAACTCCTAGAAGAAAACATACATAGTAAGCTCCTGTCATCAGTCTTGGTGTTGATTTTTTGGATCTGACACCAAAAGCCAAGGCAACAAGAACAAAAACAAACAAGTCCACATTAAATTAAAAAGGCTTCTGCATAGCAAAGGAACCATCAACAAAATGAAAAGGCAACTTACTAAATAGGAGAACATATTTGCAGATCATATGTCTGATAGGGGGTTAAGATCCAAAATATATTTTTAAAAAGCTCATACGACTCAGTAGCAAACAAAACCCACAAACAACCAGATTAAATGATGGACAGATCTGAACAGATATTTTTTCAAAGACATACAAGATGGCCACAGGTACATGAAAAGATGCTCAATATCACCAGTTGTCAGGGAAATGCAAATCAGAACCACAGTGAGGTATCTTCTCACACCTGTTAGAATGGCTTTTATCAAAAAACAAGAAATAACAAGTGTTGGTGAAAATGTAGAGAAATGCTCAATGTGGAGAAATGTTCAAGAACCCTTGAACACTGCTTATGGGAATGTAAATTGGTGCAGCCACCATTAACAGTACGGAGGTTCCTCCAAAATTTAAAAACAGAACCACTTACATGATTCAGTAATTTCACTTCTGGGTATTTATCCAAAGAAAATGAAAACATTAACTCAAAAAGACAGACTCACTCCCATATTCATTGCAATATTATTTACAATAGCCAAGATATGGAAACAATCATGTCTACTGAGGGATGAATTTAAAAAGAAAATGCAGCATATATGTACATACATATATATGTACAATGGAGTATTAGTCAGCCATAAAAAAGAATGAAACCCTGCCATCTGCAAGAACATGGATATACCTTGAGAGCATAATGCTAAGTGAATTAATCCAGAGAAAGACAAATACTGGGTCTTACTTACATATGGAATCTAAAAACAAAACAACAGAGCTCATAGCTACAGAGAACGTATTAATGGTGGCCAGAGGAGAGGGGTGGGGTGGTGGGGTGGGGACAAAATGCTTGGAGGGGAGATATATATATGTATATTCAGTACGGTACATATATATAATAAATAGTAAGGTATTGATAATTTATCACACTGCTGCAAATTTGAAAGTTGCTAAAGGAGTAAAAAGTTCATCACAAGAAGAAAATTTGTAACTATGTATAGTGATAAATGTTAACTAGACTTAATGTGGTGATCCTTTTGCAACATAAATATCAAATCATTTTTATAGTCCTAAAATTAACATATGTTAATTATACCTCAATTAAAAATATATTCACAGAACTCACCTGGTGATAGTGAGCAGGGACAGAGTGTTACAAAACCAAACTGAAAAAAATACACCATTTCTGATAGCCAAAGACCTATTATTATATAGCACATGGAACTCTACAAAATGTTACGTGCCAGCCTGGATGGGTAGGGGGTTTGGGGAAGAATGAAAGCGAAAGTTAAAGTTGCTCAGTCCTGTCGGACTCTTTGCGACCCCATGGACTATACAGTCCATGGAATTCTCCAGGCCAAAATACTGGACCGGGTTGCCTATTCCTTCTCCAGCGGATCTTCCCCACCCAGGAATTAAACTGGGATCTCTTGCAATACAAAATAAAAAGTTAAAAGTTTGAAAAAAAAAAAACAAACTCATATGATTTCCCCTACTTAATTCAGAGAGGGTGCTGTAGTCTGGGTGGTAAGCGTAGTCTAGGTAATATCCAGTTTTTTAGTTCCTCCACATTGTTTTATACTTGATTTTACTAGCATAAAAGGGTACTTGTATTTATAATATGACTTTCTTCTGGTCTCTAAACCAGTCTTGTATAAGGCAGTAGGCTAGTGAGAAAGATCACTGCTTTTTAGGAAGCAATGTAAACCATACTTTTAACATACTGTTACTGAGTCCAAGCTCCTACTGCTGGCTGCAAGACAGGCCAATGAATAAAAAGATTAATTGTTGAAGCAAGGAATAGCAATTTTATTTGGAAAGCCAGACAATGGAGAAGACAGAGGACTCAGGCCTTTTTTTTTTTTATAAAAAAGGAAAGTTAGGTTGGTTGTTGCAAACTTCTTAGTGCCAGAATCCTTTGTTCTTAGGCTGTCAAGGTGGGTTAGGTCACAATGTTCCTGAGTGTCCAACAAGAGAAGTGTTATTCTCTGTTCTGCAACTTTTTCTCTCTATATGAATGGGACAGTGTTACACCTTGAAAGGTCTGATCCTTGAGAATGGGCCAGCCTGTATATTTCAGGCTATAGGTAACATCCCTTTAGTTATTCAGGAGTAGCAAGAGCAATGGAATACAGATATGGGGAAAAAAAAAATCCAGTATGAAGTCAGACTTGTTCTTCCCTATTGTAATACCTCTAGACCTTGCACACTCCTAAGTTTGCTAAAGGTTAAGTGACTCTCATCCACATATCCAGTAAACTGAAGTCGGTTTTTATACTCTTAAGTTTGGCTTCAAAACCCAGTGCTATATCAATGCTTTCTAACAGGGTGATTCCAATTCCTGGTTTTCATCTGCATGCAACGAAGTTATACTATTTATGACACATTGAATTATTTTATAACATGGTATGCAAATCAAGGACCATCTTTATTCTGAGAGTGTGACTTTCTTACTCTTTTCGTGGCCTTTCTTTTGGAAAACGGTATGAACTAGTGAAGATTTTCTTCTTTCCTTGTCAAAAGAAAGAGCGTGGAAAAAACCTGTTGCTCTTGAAATATCCTCTGATGCATGAATTTCTAGTCAGGACCCAATTCCACACCAAGCAAATGCGTGTTAAGAGCGGAAGAGAGGGTCTTAAGTTTGAAAAGACCGCGTCTGAGGTCCACAGACAGGGCGAGGAAGCGACAGCCTGGCTTAGCGCCCCGCGCGCATCCCGAGCCCGCATCCAAGTCCTGGCGGCCGACTCTCCAGAGACCAACAAACCGCGGGCTCGACAGGGGGCGCTCCTGGCGTCTCCGGTTTTCTCGCATCGGAATCGGCCGACTCAGGAGCGGCCTCGCCCGGACCCTCAGCGGGGTTGACGAGAACCAGGCGCCTCGAGCGTGTGGGGATAGTCTGACGACTCGGCGGCGAGCGAGAAGGTTAGACCGCCAGGGGCCGCTGCTGCAAGGCCGCGAAATCAGAACTCTCGCGATAGGCGAGACTGGGCTTCGCGGAAGTGATTCTCCGGAAACAGCATGGCTGCTCCGTTCAACTGACCCGGCTCTACCTGGTGAACCGCGGACAAGATGCAGTCGGACGATGTGAGTCCTGATGCTCTGCCACCCAGGTTTTGCACAGGGTGTCTCGTCTGCTTTAGGAGACTCAGGAGCCACCCGTTAGCCTCTTAGGGCTCCGGAAGCGAGGCTTCCAGAGCCCTGATTTCCGAGCGTGGGGCTCTCACGTGTCTACCCGGGTCCTTCGGAGTTAAGGGGACCGCTCCCCGCCACCTCAGGCCCCGGTTTCACTGTAAACGGCCCTTGGTGCCTCTCAAGAGAGGCTTTTGGGTGTGGTCTCTCGGGATTTCGGCGGCGGCGGGGCAGGGGGTGGGGACCGGCGTGGGGGACGGTATGGTGAGGTTTAGACACCAAAGTTAAGCATCCTTTTAATCCACGTGCGCGTTACTCTTCAGCCTGCTTTCCCTGTGTTAGATTTTTCCTTTACTTTTACTCCACTCTCTGCCCGCGTCATAATTTTGGAAGCATCCTAGGCTCATTCATTATTTGTATGAAATATACTCAAGTGCCTACAGCGTGCCCGGCGATGTAGTAATTACTGGCAATTTGGTTGTTATTAAGCCAGGCAAAAGACCTCTGCTTTCCTGGAGCTCTGGCGAGGGAGACAGTAAACACGTGAACGAATTAAATACAATTGAAATGTGTAATACTACTGTGAAAGAAACACCGGGGTGATAGAGAGTGATGAGAGACCACTTCGGATCAGAGATTGCTCTGAATAAAAGATATCTCAGCCGAGATCTGAAAGATGAGAAGGAACTGCCACTGGGGGCTGAGGGGAAAGCAATCAATCAATCCAGGCCATAGGAACAGTACAGTACAAAGATCTGGAGGCAAGAAAGAAGGAATGTCGTAAAGGACATCAGTGTGACTGTGTTAGAGGAATCAAAGGAAGAAAGGTAGTGAAGTTGGATGTCTTTGCAGGACAAGATCATGTAGAGTCTCTAAGGAGGTGTTTTAAAGGTTTTAATGTGAAATGACATCTGACTTGCTTTTGTGAACATTTCTGTCGTGTGAAAGGAGAGAAAGAATGAAAGCTAGGAGACTACAGTGTGATGAGTAGGTTCAACTAAGGTAGTGCTAGTCATGAAAAGAAGTGGATGGATTTGAGATCTGTTTTATCATAACTTGCAAGACTTGGTTACGGTGAGATGAGGAGAGGGGAGAAATCAAGTGGCTTTTGGATTTGAACAGGTTATTCAATGGTGATTCTGTTTATGGATGTGGGGAAGACTAGGGAAGGTGTTCTTTTGAGAGATGTGGAATTGAAAGCTCCATTTGGACCTGCTAATGTGTTTTGAGACCTTTCAGACATTCAGGCAGAGATGTCAAGTAGGCAGCTGGATGTATATACCAATCTGGTGCTCAGAAGTCCGACTAGGAGATGACAGTTTGGGAGTCACCAACTTTGCGATGATATTTAAAGCCACAAGCCAGAATTAGCTCCTGCTTTTCCAGTTTCATTTCCTCTTACCTGTTTCCTACCATCCCTCACCAAGAAAGCGAAAGTGAAGTCGCTCAGTTTTGTCCGACTCTTTGCGACCCCATGGACTGTAGCCTACCAGGCTCCTCAGTCCATGGTATTTTCCAGGCGAGAATACTGGAGTGGGTTGCCATTTCCTTCTCCAGGGGATCTTCCCAACACAGGGATCAAACCCGGGTCTCCCACACTGTAGGCAGACGCTTTACCATCTGAGCTACCAAACAGGTCCCATAAAGTTCCAAAAATGTTTCATTCTTTAATGCTTCTTTGTGTTTTTCCCTTTAACTTCTCTAGAGCCCTTTCCCAGCTCCTCAAGGCAGCGCGCTCACAGGTTCTCAGCCATTTATACACCTCTATTGTGGGTATTTCGGAGAAGGCAATGGCACCCCACTCCAGTACTCTTGCCTGGAGAATCCCAGAGACAGGGGAGCCTGGTGGGCTGCCGTTTATGGGGTCGCACACGACTGACATGACTTAGCAGCAGCAGCAGTATTGTGGTATTTAGCAACTACTGCTTCTTGATGTTTTGTATCTTTCTAACTAGATAGAGAACACTCTTTGAGGACTGTACCTTCCTTCATTCAGCATGTGCTTGAGTACCTCCTGTGTGTCAGGACTTTGAAATGTCAGTGTCTTACATAACTACTAAGTGTACATTAAATGCCGAATGAATATAGAGCACATGAGTTAGTGGAAGAGAGTAGATGATTTTCCTTGTCCTCAACGAGATAAAGTCATGGAATGTGTATCTAAAAACGTACTACTGTGCCGCCTTTCACAATGGATGATGGACATACTAAGTAAAAAAGGAAAGTTACTATTATATATATAATATAGTTTATATATACATACTACAAACTCATATTGTTCAAAATATCCATGTAGGCATATTAGTTGGTGTAACATACAAATATTTACAAAATACTAATGAAATTATATCTCTGGGCAGTAAGGTTATGGTTATTGTTAATTTGTATTTACTTTTCCTGTAAGAATCTGTTATTTGTGTAAAATAACAAATAAATCAGACTATTTTACAAAGCACTTTATCCTCAAAAGTCCTTAGAGACTTTTTCTTAGTAAAGCAGGGCATTGTTTTCTTGAATTAATGTGGCGTCTCTTAGGTGAGAGCAATTGAAATGGATTTCTACTTTTGTCTTACAGGTTATCTGGGATACACTAGGAAACAAGCAATTTTGTTCCTTCAAAATAAGGTGAGTCTAGATTTTCAGCTTGAACAGAGATTCTTTCAGTTGCCCTCTTGGTAACCCATCTTGTAATTTTGGTTCTTTCCCTCTTGTTTAGAACCAAGACTCAGAGTTTCTGCAGAAATGAATATAGCCTGACTGGACTGTGTAATCGGTCATCCTGTCCCCTGGCAAACAGCCAGTATGCCACTATCAAAGAAGAGAAAGGTAACTCCTCAGGTTTAACTTCCGAGAAGTACTCAGCAGCTTTTAAAAGGATGTTCTTTAGTCTCTGAAAATAATAACAGAAGTATTTACTGTATCCTGCAGGACAGTGCTACTTGTATATGAAGGTTATAGAACGAGCAGCTTTCCCCAGGCGTCTCTGGGAACGGGTAAGACTTGGGGTATTAAATTACCATGACCATTAATCAACAGCAAGAAGGCCACGTGGTTTTTCCCCCTTCCTTGGCCACATCTACCTTAAACTCCTGGAGTTTAAGGCCTCTAGGAGGCCCCATGGGTGTCATTAACAGTGAAGACCTGATCATTTATCCTTGTTCATCATGCTTCTGTTAATCTGTTCAACAGGTCCGGCTTCATAAAAACTATGAGAAAGCACTGGAGCAAATAGATGAAAACCTAATTTACTGGCCCCGTTTCATTCGACACAAATGTAAGCAGAGATTCACCAAGATCACTCAGTACCTAATTCGAATTCGAAAACTTACACTTAAGCGACAGTAAGTGTTGATCATTCATTTTTAAATGTCTTTGCATGCATCATATTATGAAAGCTGAGAGATGGTGAAACCTCTAGAAATGCTTTTTCTTAACTTCAGCTTTGGGTAATTTTTAATGACATGCTAAGCAGCAGCAGTTTTACCACAAATTAAAATTTTGCCCTTTTTCAGGATTTTAAAAGCATATAGTACAACTTGATTATTCCCTTCCTGTCTGAACATCAGCTTCAGAAAACTGTCTTTATAACCCTGAGGGAATCCTAAAGTTAGGGAATTTAAAATGAGTGTAAGAACTTCACTCTGGGTTCACTGAAAACTAATTTTTAAAGTGGTATGAAATCCACAGAATTAATTGCATGCCTTCTTTAAGGAGTGGTAGCCCTAATGCTTTCTCATTGTGACCTGCAGAGAAAGCTAGAGATGTCAGTTCTCTAGAAAGTTCTTTTCTCGTAGTTCACAGAAGCATTAATCTTCAGCATTGTGAATGCTCTCAGAGATCTCAGAATGCCTAAAGAAACAAAAAACAGCCATGTATGTGAAAGATGTCTGTCAAATGTATGTAAAATTACTTGACTTTATAGCATTATCAAGGATATCTTAGTATATAATCTTGCTATATTGAGGTGAGCCCTACAAAATCAATTCATCCTTTTTTCTTGTCATTTTTTAAATAAAGGAATGTGTTTTCTGATCATGTATTCTTTTTCCCACAGGAGGAAACTTGTTCCTTTGAGTAAGAAGGTGGAGCGGAGGGAAAAACGGAGAGAGGTAATTTATTGTTCTGATAGTCACGACGTCTCCATATTCACTGAAGAGCAGGGATGTGTAAGCAGGACTCATGAGCACTATTCAGTGACCACTGTCTGTGAGCTGTTCACACCCTAGATAATAGACAGCAGTGTTAGTTGCATACAGTATCTGGTATTCTGTATCTGAAGATTATGACTCTCGGGGCCGGATAAAATGTGGGTGCTTCAGGGACATTTATAATACGAAACAGGAAAAATAACCTCATCAGAGATCCGCAGCTCCCTGTCTGAAATTTTTGAGTCAGGGTTTTCAGATTTAGAATCCTATGATGTTTTGCTGATCTTGTATTTTACATTTTACTCTCAACTAATTTTGAGGATTCTAGTCACACACACTAGTAGTTATACAGTGATATATAAGTGTTTCACTAGATGAATTTATAGTAGGTAAAATTTTTTGAAAACAACTTCCTCTGTCCATGGAGATTCTCCAGGCAAGAATACTAGAGTGGGTTGCTGTCTCCTTCTCCAGGGGATCTTTCCAACCCAGGGATAGAACCTAGGTTTCCTGCATTGCAGACATTCTTTGCCGTCTGAGCCGCCTGGGAAGCCCAAGAATACTGGAGTGGGTAGCCTATCCCTTCTCCAGGAGAACTTCCCAGTCCAGGAATCGCGCCAGGGCCTCTCGCATTGTCGGTGGATTCTTTACCAGCTGAGCTACCAGAGAAGCCCACATTGAGCTTTAGGGGTTCTGAAATTGCTGTTAAGGGATTGACATTATTCGTTTTCTCTGAACTAGTCAGCTTTGTTACTGAGGTATTGAACAATGATGGTAATATTGTGCTAACTGTGGAAAATCTAGTCAGGAGATTCCAGTCTTTGTGGAAGACAGCAGTCTCCCTGTGCACTTCATGGGACTCACTCAGGCTGAGCATTCTTCTGGTTGAAAGACCCAGAATGAGGTCTTCCTGACAAGTTCACATTTTCAGTCATTTTAAGTATTTGTTTTGCTTACTGCACATCCACAAACATGTACCTCATCATTTGTCATATCCTGTCAAGAAAGAGCTTTAGAAATCTTGATGCTCTTGTTTCCATTAATCACATAGATTCTGCATTTCAAGCATGAGTCGCTGGTCTCCAAACTTTTTTGATCACTCCATCAATAAAATTTTTGAACATTTCCTCCCCAGTAGATTATTTATGGATGTTATTATACATGTACACTTGTGCTAGAGATATATTTAAATAATAGTTTTGATATAGTGAAAGTCTGGTTCTCAGCACAGTAAAATTTGCCTCTAAGGGCTGTCATAGGTGATAGAACTCAGACAGAGAAAGGGGGGTATTGTTGAGTGCCTGCATTTCGTACTTGCTGTTCATTTTTCCTTCACCACCACCAGTTATGCAGACACCTTTGTTTAAATCTGGCTAGCGAGTTTTCATCTTCCTTGACTGTCAAAACTTTAAAAACTTCATATTACATACCACTGATAGCCATTTGTTATCTTAGAAAATGTTGACAGATCTAAACGGGGTGGGGGGGTGTGTGTGAGAAAAATGCATGGTTCTTTAAGTTCTGTGACTCAAATGCTAAACCATTAAATAACCAGCATATATAATTACTGCCTATCTTATTGCATACTATTCACTATCATCTATAGAGCTACGTAACCAAACTTAACCAAATAGCTGTATGCTGCAAGAATCTGAATGAGATCACCCCTTTTATACTCTTCGTGTAGTATTTTAAAGAAAAAATATTTACAGAAGTTTTGAGCATTTGGTTCCTACATCTCAGTAGATCACCCTTGAGGTGTAAGCACCCACTTTAGAGAAAAATGTGGAACATCACAATAACCTCTTGACTGCTCTGTGAGCCCCCATCTCCTTTGTAACTGATCCTGTGCACGATTCATTCTAACACAGCTTCAGAGTGTAACACTAACATCCTGAGATTTCCACTATCATATTAATGCAGTCTTTGGGGAAAAAGGTATGAGGCTACATTTTGGTTTTTATGTCTCAGTTTTGTAAAGGTAGAGATACCATGTATCATCACCTGTAAGAAATCACTAAAGGAAGATTTCTCTTGTTGGAGTATGATTTACAGTGTTGTGTTAAATCTCTGCTGTATGGCACAGTGCTTCAGTTACATACATATTCTTTTTCTTTATGGTTTATCACAGGATGCTTAATATAGTTCCCTGATTTCTACAGTAGGAAAAGGAAGAGATTTTTTCATCTTCTTTTCTAACATGTTGTTTCTATGGCTTTAGAAAATGTAAATGAGTGAAGGTCTCTGTTCCTTTTTTGCAGCTTTTATAGAGTCTTGCTTCAGGATTGCTAATTTTCTGAAATATTTATGTGTTCATATACCAATTTGCTTTATCAAAGACTTAGAATTTAATTTAGAAATCTATTCATAAAACCATAGGAATTTTTTTAAGTTGAAAGATTTCCAGGGTTTGACAAGGAAAAAATATATCTGGTTAGACAGGCAGAAGTTCCTGTTATAGCAAGAGGGAAAAGGTGATTATTACATCTTTCACATAAAAACTTGGTTTCTTCCCTTCTACAGGCTGAACAGTGAGTACTAATGAAGTAAATGGGTTTGTTCTTTCTCTCTTACAGGAAAAGGCATTAATAGCTGCCCAGCTGGACAATGCCATCGAGAAAGAGTTGCTGGAGAGACTGAAACAGGATACGGTGAGAAAGCTAGAAACTCTGGGGTGCAGATTTTATTTTTTAGGTGCTAGGTAATGTGCCAGGAGACATGGGACTAGTTGGAAATGGGTTTTATTTTTAAAGATGTTAGAAAGTGCCTTACCTCGATTTTATTCTTGGAATAAAATAAATATCATATTAGCTCTGGCTAATGCAAGCATGTAAACTACTGCAGTTAACCCTTGATACTCCAGTTTGGAGACCTTTCCTTTTTTGCCATTATTCCCAACTCCTCCTCCAAACACAGCAATTCTAGGTCTCTACAAAAGCCACACAGCTTTGATCCTTCTGCTTATTCATCCTAGTCTTTTAAGGTTCTTTAAAATGAATTTTTATTCTTTTGAAAAATGGATGTTATTTAAAGAGACAACATGAATAAAATATGCTTTTTAAATCTTATTTCCCCTTTGTTGGCAAAACTACATTTGTTTCAATCCATGGGTTTTATATACTACTATATTTTAACTGATTTGGTGTCCATCTTTCATAGAAGTTACCAGTTTGGTATTGCTGATTATTTAAATGTCAAATGTGGGTTTTTTAAAGAAACCACTGGCTCTAGGCTTGAACATAATATAGTACTATTACTTGTCAAACTAAATGTTCCTATTTAATCACTGAGGAAAATAATATGCTGGTTGGACAGTGGACTTTAAGCATAAGGTCAAACGTGGCGAAAGCTGACCCATGTTTCTTTTCTTCAGTACGGTGACATCTACAACTTCCCCATCCACGCCTTCGATAAGGCCCTGGAACAGCAGGAGGCAGAGAGTGACTCTTCAGATGCTGAGGAAAAAGATGATGAAGAAGATGAAGAAGTAAGCTTTGTGTTTTTGCTCTGTCAGGCAGTACTCTGTAGGATTAGATCTATTTTTATGTAACAGAGACAGAATATCATTTTTAGTTCCCTAACCAAAAAATAGTTATCTGGTCACTCATTTCCTATCATTTTTTATTAATTTGGTTCAGTAGTGGCTTCTTTGGTCTCCAGGATCAGCCAACAAGCCACACATTGACAATTTAATCTTACTTAGTAGCCTTCTGAAATTTTTCCTGCAAGGTGACAAATGACAAGTCCTTATTGACTAAAGGAACATAACATTAAGGAACCTACTAAAATTTATCAAGGGTTTAATCTTACTGTTAATATACAGGAAGTACTTAAGTGATAGTATTTTTGGGAAAGGGATAGTATTTTTGGGAAAGGGGCAGATTCAACAAATTGATTCACAGGAGACTCACATATGTACATGGTTGTACTTTTCCTATTAGTAATATAGTTTTTAATATTTGAATAGTTTTAGTTGAATGTATAAAGAATTGTTTGTTCCTATATACTGATTTTAACCGATTAAAATGAGGATGTTTTATCTCTGATGATTTAAATCAGGCATGAGAATTGATATCCCTAAAGAAGTAAGTTGATTTGGTTGCCTAGTAACCATTCTCATCGTGTTTTCGTTAGTGATATACTTATCAAAGAATAAAACTAGATGTCTGAACTGAATTCTCATTATGTATCTTGAACCTAATGGTTAGTTTGATTTTAGGATGTGGGGAAAAGAGAGTTTGTGGAAGATGATGAAGTGGATGAAAGCGACATAAGTGATTTTGAGGTGAGGTTCACGGGTAAAACATTGTCCTTTGGCTTCAACAAAAATGGGGGGTGGGGGTTCAGATCACACAGAACAAGTAAATTCTCTAATTTTAGTTCTAAAGAGAAAGAACAGAGACAGGAGTTTAGGGAATGAATCTAGTGTCTTCTTTTTTTTCCCTTCATGTGTTAGGATATGGATAAACTGGACGCCAGCAGTGATGAAGATCAGGATGATAAATCCTCCAGTGAAGAAGAAAAAGCCCTTGATGCCAAACACAAAGGCAAAACACCTCTGAAAGGGCCTCTGAGGAAGAAAAGAGCCTACGTTGAGATAGAGTACGAGCACGAGACAGAGCCCGTGGCCAGGGCCAAAACCACGTGACTTCCCTCAGACGCTTGTAAACAGGACTGGACGTCTTCCTTTTTTTATATCTTAAACACATAACACTTCCGGGTTTTGCTCTTCATCTTTAACACAATATTTGTGTTTTTAATATTTATGCTAGTTCTGTGGGGCAAAAAATCTGGGAGGGAGTGGAGAAAAGCCTAAATTGTGAATATTTTTATAGTATTGTTACATGACATGTGCTGAAGTAACAGCTTGAGCCCAAGAAGCATAAGGGATGAGTCTGTGGGTATAAATATTTCTAAATTTAAATGTTACCCACTCACCCCTGTTTCCTTGGCATCCTCCCTCTTGCATGCCTCCCCCACCCCTTTATTTAGAAATGTCCAGATTCCATTTTTTCATATTCTCCTTTCCCTACTTCTGTGGGAGTTAAAAAGAAAAGGAAAGAGAAAGTCTAAGTTATAATGTTTAGTATAAATATACCTTTTGCCTGAAATAATTCCACTTAAAACAACTGGAAGAGAAAGAAAATCCTTTTCTTTTCAGGAAAGTAATACAAGTCTTAAGTTGCATCACAGGGAGCACCTTCAGAAAGCTGTTGCACTCTTCGGATGCAGCTCCCCACCTGACTGTCTTCACAACTGTGGAGGATTTTAGCCAGGAGACCCTGAAACGTGAAACCAGACAGGCTTGGTTTTTTGATTGTTATTGCACCTTGGTGGTTCTTTCTTGGTATCAGACTCAGAGAAGGAAAGAACGGATGACACTAGGGCAGTTCACAGAACTGGTGTGACTTTAGGAACTGGAAATGTCCTACTGACTCACGAAGCAGCAGCTTTTTACCAGCCAGGATGAATCAGGTTAGATCTAGGGCTTGAAAACTGCTTGAGGTTAAAAAGCCAAGACGAATAAAGTATCCCTCAATTTTTTTAGGATGTTAATTTCTTTTCATGCTGCCTGTAACTTTAAAGATTTTGAGACAATGGTTTATAAATTATGTATACGTGGACACACAGCTATTATATGCAATCGCTTGGAGAAGTAAACTAATGTGGAATATGAGACCAAAGGAAGAATTCCCACATGGATAAAGTATGTGGAAAACATCATTGCCTCTGAAAAACTGGAAACATCTCTGTTATCTGAATTACTTACTCTATCTAAATTATTCCTTGGTGGATTACAGCCCATTATTTTAACTTTTTTCTCTTCATTCAGACCACTAGAACAGAATTTCAATTTTGAAAACTCTCGATCATGATCCTCTTGCCCATTCTTTGTCCTAGCTCCAGAAGCATCCACTGATCCTCTTGCCTTTTCATCTAAAAAGTTCTGAATAGCTTTAAAGGGAGAATAAGGTATTGATCAAACTCTGCTGAAGGCTAAAAGACTCAGAGGTAGAGACTCGAACCTTCCATGTCCAATTGACTTGGTCAGGCACAAAACTATCACAGAAATCGTCTGAGGATGATGAGGCCTAACTGAAACCAAGTGGTAGACTGTCCCTCACCTTTACCCGTCCTGAAGAGCAGTGGTCCAGAAGAATCAGGCAGTCTGTGGCCTCTTCCAACAAGGCGCTCTTAACACACTCGGGTGTGAGGCTTGAATCCCTTGCTACGTCACATATCAGTTTCAAGAGGGCCTTCAGTAAGACCACAAGTCTACAGGAGACTCTGGAATCAAGAAGAAAGATGATATTCATACTCTGAATCAGATATTAAAACTGAAAAAGGCATCTGGGATAAAGTCCTCATTTCATGAAGGAACTGAAGTTCAAGTTTAAGACCATAGAGCTGGAAGCAGAACGAGACCAGACTCCAGACTTCTGAACTCCAAGCCCACTGGTTTTCTCTATAGCACACTGCCCACACATCCGGACACGCTGGCATGCCCAAGAACACCTGGTTGCCCTCAGAAGTTGGTGGTTTTACTGTTAGGAAACAGCCCTCCTGAAAAGGGAGAACTGGGCCCTCCCTACCAGGGGCCTATACTTTTGGCCAGAGAACAGGAAACGGCCCACAGTTCTTTAGCTTGGATGTGGTCTTAGGCCTGGAGGTTAAAGATATAGTGAGGGAAGTAAGCTTGGCTTCTGAGAATTCAGAGTTGATTTAACTTTTCTGTCACTTTAATGCTAGATCCTAGATTACTGCCCTGTCTCTATTTATTTCTGCTTTGCCTTTCTAAAAATTTTTATGATGATGATTACATAAAATTGTAAATGTGCTTAATGCCACTGAATTATACACTTGAAAATGGTAAATTTTATGTATTTTTTTAACCATTAAAAAAAACACTAAAAAGCCCTAAGGAAGCTGAAAAATTTAAATTTAGTGTGAAAATAAAAATAAACCACACTTCTGGGCAGGAATATGACTGGGAGAAGAGAAATTTACATCCTTCATCTTGATCTGAAAACCATGAAGTGGGTTCCTATAATGTGCGTGCAGTTCAGCACTTCACTGTCATCTTTCAACACAGCTGGCTCTTCGCTCCACTCCCCAGACCTCACCCCCTCCATGCTTCACATTTGTTTTCTGACCTCTCCACATTTTCTTGACTTCTACTGAGTATCAGTATTGATTCAATTTCATTCATCCGTCTATTCCAGTCACTTCTGAAATATCTGTGTACTTAGTACTGGGCTTTCCCTGGTGGCTCAGTAGGAAAGAGTCCACCTGTCAATGCAGGAGCCTTGGGTTCAATCCCTGGTTCAGGAGGATTCCCTGGGTTGGGAAGATCCCCTGGAGGAGGAAATGGCAACCCACTCCAGTATTCCTGCCTGGAAAATCCCATGGACAGAGAAGCCTAGCAGGCTATAGTCCATGGGGTTGCAAAAGAGTCAGACACCACTTAGTGACTAAACAGCAAAACTTAATACCAGGTTCTGAGTAAATTTGGAGTTCTCGGTATACCAAGGTGATCTTCCATCTTCCTGGAGCTTGGAGTTCAGCAGAGGAGACAGTATGTAAATAAATGCAACCTGGGTACAAATGTGATTCTGGGGTACATTATAAGGAGATGAGAGAATAGAGTTCAGAACAGACACATACGTGTTGCTAAGACACTGGGACTCATGCCCAATTAAGTCTTGTTATTTCATTCAGACTCACTGGAAAAAGCCCTGATACCGGGAAAGACTGAAGGCAAAAGGAGCATGGGGTGGCAGAGAATGAGATGGTTAGATAGCATCACTGACTCAATGGACAAGAGTTTGAACAAACTATGGGAGAGAGTAAATGACAGGGAAGCCTGGCGTGCTTCAGTCCATGGGGTCTAAAAGAGTTGGACACGACTGAGCAACTAAACATTTCCTGCAAGACAGCCTTTTGCAGACTCAATGTGTTCAGGTTCCAGCTTGCTGTTCACGACACCTCCCTTGAGCCAGAGTTGGAATGCTAAGCAAATGTGTCCCAAATCAGCATTCTCCTGATCACACACGTTTAGTGATGTGCTGGGAGTGCTGCACTCTTGATCAGACTTAAGAAACCTAAGGGTGAACAAAGTCAAGGGTGTCTACTGTCGCGCTGCTCAGCAGCCTGAACATTCTAACAGGCCTTACAGACAGCTGCCACCTGAGGGAACTGGGTCTATGTCCTGTCAATGCCACTTTCACAGGCAAGTCCAACGGGTATCTGTACAGCCTGTCCTTAATACTCTACTGCGCACACATCTGGGCAAGTCCTGCAGGGAGTAGGGCTGGAGTTTCGCCCTTCAGCACACCTGAGTGCTGGCTGTCATACCTGGGCCAAGCATACTGCAGGAGAAGTTTCAGGGTTTCCAGTATCTTCAATCTGGCCTCCTCCTCGGGTCCATCATATACCTCCAGGTAACCAATGATAACTCGCTCCAGCCTTTTCAAGTGTCGGACAGTTAAGATCCCCAACCTAACGACAACAGAGAAGATGCGATGCAGAGTGAAGCTGAGGAATATGGCCAGATCCAGCTGCTCAGGGACTCACCTCTTCACAAAAGCTGGCAGGGTTCTCGCGTAAGTCCTGCGTAAGAGAAGGCGGTGCTCGGGTTCCATGTGCGTCAGAATCAGCTGCAGGACCTCGTCACAGTGTGTGGTGGGTCGGGCCCCATCTCCCTTCCAGTGTAGGGCTTTCTCCAGGACGGGGAATAAATCCAGCAGACACAGGAGCACAGCCTAGGAGGAAGTAGGAGAAAGGAGCTGTAGTTCACCAGTTGGTAGTCCTAACACTCAATGATTTCTCTTGCAACTTCCACTCATCTACCATCCTCAGTGTCCATGTCACAGAATTCTAAAAGATGTGAGTAATAATACATTAAGTGTAATGTATTACTTTATATTTTCAAACTTTTAACATTCTTTATTTCCATCAGATGGTCTCAAGTTAAAATCTCCTAGGACAGTTCTTTGCTAATCTATAGAATGGAGCAGAGCTAAGACTTTAATCCAGAATTTAGGAGTCTCAGTCTATTGTCACTGAATACCTAAGTTTAAGTTGATATTTACAAGTATAAATATCTACTATAAGACCTCTCCCCAACAGAATCTAAGATGACTATTTGAATCCACTTTTGACCTCCCTATCTCTCGTTTCAATGTCCACGTAATCCCTTTTAGCTCTCCTGGGATCGTTGCTTTTTCTCTTACTTTTTAACTACCATCGCAAGAGTCTTAACCTTACTGGCTTTTAGTATAGCCCAGATTCTCAAAACCTAAAATCATATTTTAAAAAGAAAGGGGCAGGCTGAGGTAAGAGGAGGGAGAATATCTGGCCTAAAATAAGAAACAAGGTTATTTCTACCTCTAATTTTATGTAACTTGTTTCTTGACTTCAGAATGGTCTTGGAGCCCCTCCCCCCACACTATGCCCCAGAAATTCTCATTCTTTATAAGCAAGTATCACCTCCTTACCAGTCTCTTAAAACACCCCAATACCACCAAACCTTGTTAGCTGCCTATTGTTAAAACACCTACTGCATTTTATACAAACCTCTTTTAATAGATGTATTACTGTACTGTATTTATATTTACAGTATATATATATTTACATAAATGTGTCTGCAAAGGATATCTTAAAGCCAGAAACCTTGCCTGACTCATTCAGTCTTGGAATCTACAATGGTGACTGGCACACAATAGATACTCAGTGTCTATTGGAGGAAACAGCAAATGACACCCAACATACAAAGAGTTCCCCATGTCTGTGTTGATATAAAAGCAGCCCAGAAGGAAAGACACTTAATAAAAATAGAACTCATTCGGGAGTTCCCTGGTGGTCCACTGGTTAGGACTCTGCACTTCCACTCTTGGGGCCAGGGTTTGAGCCCTGGTTGGGGAACTAACATCCTAAAAGCCATGTGGCTAAAAAGAAAAAAAAAAGGAGGTGGGCGGAAGAAAGAACCCATCTTTCTCTCTTGTTCACATATAGGTGAGAGACTACAAAAAGAAAATCCTTTTAAAAACTAGAACTTTTTCAGACATAAAGCTGCCCCCAAGTGCTATATAATTGACCTAGATGAAGACAAAACACTGGCTTTTCTGTGGAGGCTCAGACACATGGATACCTCTTTGGTACTGAGACATTTTCACTAGCCATTTGCTATCCCCATTTTTTTTTTTTAACATATTTACTTTCGCCTGCGCTGGGCCTTTGTTGCTGCTCGAAGGCATTCTCTAGTTGGAGACTGCCAAGGCTACTCTTCACTGCAGTAAACTCACTTCTCAATGCGGTGAGTTCTGTTGCGGAGTGTGGGCTCTAGGTGCACTGGCTTCAGCAGCTGCAGCCCACGGGCTCTAGGCAGGCTCAGTGACTGGCACAGGGGCTCAGCGGCTCTGCTGCATGTGGGGTCTTCCCGGGCCAGGGATCGAACCTGTGTCCCCCGCACTGGCAGGCAGACTCCTGACCACTGTACCGCCAGGGAAGTCCAGCTATCCCCGTATTTTCAACTTGGTAGTGGCTCTTAGTTATCATCCCCACCTTCCAAGAAGAGAAAAATGCCACCAACCATTCTTATTCACATAATGCCACCTTCTACTCAAACTTGAAAGCTTAGAGTCTTGAGCGAATCTGACAATCACCTGAATGAGGAGGTGCTCCCGTGTGTGCAGGTGGCTGAAAAGGGCGTGGTAGACGACCTGGGCCCTGTTGTACTGCAGCAAGTCCGCAGCTGGCTGCAATGAGACAGATCCCCCAGTTAGAGCCTCCCAAGGTGGGCGGGATGCTGAGAAATTCTGAGACCAAACATGGTATGTGGGATTTATTACACTGCTCTATTTCTGTGTGTATTTCAAAAGCTCCATAAGACACACAAGAAAACAAGTGTCCTTGAGTAATAGCTTACACATTTGGGTATAATCCCTTTCAGCTTCTGAATTTTTTGTTCCTTGAAAGTCAGTTGTTACTTAGTCAAAGTCTGGTTCTTCAGTCTGACAATGGTCTGTGTTTCTTACATGTGTCACCTCTGAGATACAAGCTGCTTGTATTGTTGCTTGGGAAATCCCATGGACAGAGGAGCCTGGAAAGCTACAGTCCATGGGGTCGCAAAGAGTAGGACACAACTGAGAGACTTTCACTTCACCTCACAAGCTACCAGATTGTTTGAGGAAAATATAGGCAAAAATATAAATTACTGAATTGAGGTACATAACAGCATTAATAGTTAATAAAACATATAAATACAAACAATAAAATGGTGATACTGTGAATGAGGAATGGCTACGAAGACTCAGTCTGTGGCATCAATACACATGCCAGAGAGCGGAGGTCACTCACCACATTAAGCACAATGTGATGGAGGCAGTGAACACCCAGGATTTTGTTTTCAGTCTGATAGTCATCTGAGATGAGCAATGATGGAGGAAGTATTCTCTCCAGATGTTGGCTCAGCCAGGGTCGAGTGACCTTTTGCAAAGTCCATGAGAAAACGTATTTGGTGGCCGGGTTATTCTTCCAGGAGTCCCTAAATGGAAATGTGAAACCACATTAAGTAACATGGTGTCCTGTTGAAGCTCAATGGATTTTCTTGGACTTGAAAAAAAAAAAGTCCCGCATAAGGTAACTCTTGATGTTATAACATACATTTTTAAGATTTAGATAAAAGTAACTTACTAAAATTACACTAAATACATTTATTACCCAGGGCTCTGGGCCTAAAGCATATCCAAGGAAAAGTAGCCAGTTACAGCCACTGCTATGTAAAGAATCTGTGGCGATGGCAGTGGTGGTGGTTACAGGGAGAAAGTCTTGAGAAAGGAGAGAGGAGGAAAGGAAATGCCTTCAGTAACATTATTACTATATGGGAGCAAATGATTCAACATTCAAACAGCAATTTATAGCTTATAAAGTGAGTTTATACACATTACTCAATCTTCAAATACAGTGTAACACGTAATGTTATCTTTATAACAATGACACTGGTCCTATTCTGAAGCAATAAAAAAGCAATACCAGGCTGCCTCATAACTAAGCCTTTTAACTCTGTTGTTGTTGAGTCGCTAAGTCATGTCCAACTCTTTGTGACCCCATGGACCGCAGCCCGCCAGGTTCCTCTGTCCATGGGACTTCCTAGGCAAGAATACTGGAGTAGGCTGACACTTCCTTCTCCAGGGGATCTTCCCTACCCAGGGATGGAACCTTGTCTCCTGCATTGGCAGGTGGATTCTTTACCACTAAGCCACCAAACATGGCTACCACATCTAACAAACAAGGATGAGTTTCAACAGCCCTGAGTTTAAATTTAAACCCTACCTTTAAATCTCCAAATCCCCAACCTCACCTAACTAAAGAAAGTTAAGTCTAAATAAATGAGAATTTCCAATTTCAGGGCAGTTGTCAGGAGCACTGGAAAATCGAGTCTGAAGACCTAGGTTCTAATGTCGAATTTGCCACTACCTAGTTAATGTCACTTATAGCAAATCACAATCTTTCTGGGCCTTGAGACCTGCTATTAAACGCCCTCATCTTACTGATGAAAATACAAGACTCCTTTGAGCTCTAGCCTTCTAAAACATTAGGCTGAAGCTCATGTTGATGGCCCTTATTGGCAAGAGTACTCACTTATTCAAATCGGGTTTGAGAAACCCCATGATCGCACTAAATCTCCCTTTCTCGTCTTCATTTTCTCCGTGGAGGAATCCAGCCACACAACCACAATCAGTGACCTGAAGCAATAAAGCGAGCACCTGTCCAGCGACCTCTTGAGATCTTTGGCTGGTCCACGGTTGCTCCAAGCTGTGTGTGACCGCAAAAACATAGATGGGTCCTGCCAAGGGACGGAGGCTTGTCTTCCATGCAGGGCAAACCAAGGAATTCTTGGCGGCCTCGACCTTCCTCAAGAGCTTTAGAAACAGTAACGCAACTGCCGCCGCTTTCTCCGCCACTTCGGGGTGGCGGTCACCTCTTCCTTCCGGCTCCTCGGCAGGGGCTGCATATTTCTCCAGGGCTTTTACCACCTGCCCCAGCATCTCGGGCATTCCGCGGAGCGAGGCGTCACTCCCCTCAAATAACCGATCACATTCTTTAGCTTCGAGCAGAGCAGCGAGGTCCTCAAGAGCTGCATTTCTGGCCTTGCCCCGTCGGGATTCCTGGCCGGCAAACTGGTGCAAGATCTGGGAGAAGGCCTGCCCGAGGGCGGAGGAAGGCCACGCTCCGGGCAAGGAAGAACCCTCCCAAGGCCCCCCCGGGGATTCCCGAGGGCCGTGAGACTCCATCCCTCAGACCGAGAACGCGGAGGACGGAGGCGGCCGGGGATCCGCTACAGAGCGGGAGGAAAGATCACCTCGTGGGCTGGGATTCTCGAAAAGCACAGAAGAAAAAAAAAAAAAACCCGGTGAGACGTCTAGGAGGACAGCGGGGAGAGATGGTCTAACCGGCAGAAGAGTAAAGATATAAAGGAAAAGATGCGAGAAAGAGGTATCTCTGGAAGTAACAGAGTCTGATTCCAAAAATGGAGGGGGGGAAGTTACTCTGGCCTTTCTGAAGACTTAAAAAAAAAAAAAAGAGTTTAAGAAATAAACCCCATACGCACGACACTCCCACGGCCACCGTTACCTGAAGCCCTTCCGGCGCGCCTGGGCGTGTCAGGATCCGACTCAGCCAGCGTCGCTGCCGCAAAGCAGAAGGCTAGCTTCCGCCATTACAGCGGCAACGCTCCATCATTTCACGACGGACGATCGTAAAGCAATGCCGTCCTAGGGTCAAAAAGGGCGGAGCCATGAGGAGGATTTTTGCATGGGGAATAACCCTCCTAGATATTTTCTTTCTGTTTCCGACTACTAAAGTAGAAACAAAAGAAATATCACGGAACGTCGGTGACGGTGATAAAATGTACAGGATTTTATATGCAAGTATAAATAAATAAACCCTACATCTGTCATCCTTCGTGAAAAGTTAGTGGGCCGTGTCTGGAGTTCCTTAATCAGCTAACCAAACTGATCCTTTTGTAGTTCATGAGCATGATGATTGGGTGTTCACGCAGCTGCGTGATATGTGCCTCCCTCCAAACCTTGTTACGACATCGGCACATTACCTTTCTGACGTGAACTAAAAGGATCATTTATAATTACAAGAAAATATTATGCTCCAGCTGTGTTTGTTGTTGGTAATTTTTACATACTTAGTATACGCGCAGTTGTTTTTGTTTCTGGTTTGACGTCAACTTTTGAGAAACTTTTAACGCGTGTAGTCGCAGTCCTGTGGGAACACTCACCCGCAAGAAACGTTGAAGGGTCGCCAGAGTAGAGCGCCAGGCGCTTATCATGCTGTTCCCGCGGCTGTCGGGGGCGGGGCGGGGCTGCCCCCAGAAGTTGCCGGAAAAGTGTCGGCCACTGACTCAGTGGGTTCCCGGCGAGAAGGTTGGCTCACGCGTTCCTCGGGTCGCGCGGTGCTTGGCCGTTCTGGGAATTTGCCGGGTGATTTCTCGTAACTTCCATCGTGCAGTAGGAATCCGGGGAAGCACACTCCGTCTGTGTCCCGGCGTGGGCGGGAGCGCACGCGGAGAAACGCGCGGCGGACACCCGGGACGAGGGCCGTCGAAGAGCCTGCTCGGCCGCTTCTCGGAGGGAGGCCTCGGGTCGCTGCGCAAACCCACGCGGCCCCGGAGGCCGGCTTAGTATCTGCCGTGTGTGTGCCCACAGGTCGCCTCGGGTCTCTTGGATTTCTCTGGGCTCTGAGCCCCTAGGCCATCCTGAGGCAGATCTTAGGGCGTGGGATGGTGTCAAGAGCAGGTTCCGGTCCCCAGAGAGTGTTGAGGGTGAGGGGAAACTTGAAGGACTTTTGTTCCGTCGTGGACAGGGCCCTGATTTGTTGTGCCATCGCTCAGTCGTGTCCCGCTCTGCGACCCCATGAACTGTAGCACGCCAGGTTATCTGTCCATCACCAACTCCCAGAGCTTGCTCAAACTCACGTGCATCCAGTAGGTGAGGCTGTGCAACCGTGTCAACCCTGTCCTCCCCTTCTCCTCCCGCCTTCAGTCTTTCCCAGCATGAGTCTTTTCCAGTATGTCAGTTCTTTGCATCAGATGGCCAAAGTATTAGAGCTTCAGCATCAGTCCTTCCAATGAATATTCAGGAATGATTTCCTTTTAGGATGGACTGGGTTGATCACTTTGCAGTCTAAGGGACTCTCAAGAGTCTTCTCCAATACCACAGTTCAAAAGCATCAAACTCCATATCTGTGGATCTTGTCTGTAATTCTTTCCTGCTTCCAACCCTCTCCTCCCCCGACCCCCACCCCCGACCTTGGCCAAAATTTCAGTAACTTCTCTGTAGGTTATAATACTGCCTACTTCTTAGGATTGTTATGAGAAATAAAGAAGTTAAATATACGTGGCTCAGAGCAATCCCTAGTCTCTTGTAAATTTAATACAGGTGTTAGTTCTTATTGTTAAACCACAGCTTCTGTATTAACTTTTATTTCCTCCTTTTAGGGGAATTTTATGGTTAGGACCCTTCCTCTCTCCCTTTCACTTGACCTTCTTTTCTCTGACCAATTGGTGGCACTGATGGTTTTCTTAGCAATATCCGACGTTGATTAAAAAGTCCTCCCAAGGAGATTCTCCCATATCAGATATCGGCCCCTATGGGAGCAAGATGGCAATCCACAGACCATTATTGTACCCCTCCTTTGCGGACCCTGTCGGCTCTGTTCCACATTCTCCTTGTGCTAAGTGGATTCGAGTTAATTCCTTATGAGGAACGTACTTTTATTGCAAGAGCTCACCCCCTCTGCTCACTGAGTTTCCGGAGGCCAGAGACCGTGGCTTTATCTCCAGTGCCTGGCACGATTTAGCCATGCAATGAATGTTTGTTGAACCCACAAGTCCATCCGCAAAGGCCTGGCTGAATAAAGCAGGGTGCATCCACACAATGCAGTTCTGTGCAGCTGTACAAAGGAATGAAGACCATCTCTGTGGAGGCCATGGAACCCTAGGATATATTGTTAAGTGAAAAAAAAAGCAAGGCTGAGGGCCTTCCCTGGGATCCGTTTAGACTGCATGTTAGATCGTTAAGACTGCATGTCCAATGAAGGGGGAGTGGGTTCCATCCTGGGTGGGGGAACTAAAATTTCACATGCTGGGCAGTGTGGTAAAAAAAAAAAAAAGGAAAGCATACATCAGATATATGTTGCCTCTTCCCTAAGAAAGATGTGGTGCATTTGCTCACATTTTTTAAAAGCAGCAATGGAAGAAGAAATTGCATACTAATTTTAAAAAGGGCTACTTATAAGAGAAGAACAAGGTGAAAACCATGGGTGTGGAAGCTAGACTTCTTTTGATCTACTCGGTCTCATTCTCAGTTTTGAATTTGGGATCTTGTAAATACGTAATTATTTTTAAAAGAAAATAACAAAGCACTTCCTACAAGGAAAAAAAAGCCATGAATCAAAGTATATTTCAAGTTACTGGCATAACCACATGGAAAAATAAGAAACTGACTTTAAAACTGATGGTTTTGGCTGTATATCCTTAGTGTGATATAGCCTAAGAACAGAAAAGAATGGCAAAAAAACCAAGCTGCATTCAGTAACAGTAGTTGTTAGTAATAATACTGGTATTGTTATTTAGATGCTGTTGCATGTATATTTTACATATTTTGTGTATATAAAATAGCAAAGAAGTCTTAATGTTGTTAGAAACCAGATCTTCAGTGAAAGATAAAGATATACAAGTATGAAATCAATTAAGTTAGGTGTAAATTCCATGAGCGAATATTTGAATCGGCAATGGTAGTGTGGTTAATCATTAATTTTTCTTATTCTATAAAATAAATATACCCTAACTGTGTTCACTGAAAAGGTCAAGAAGTAATGATAATCCAACAGTTATGAGCAGCTCTTGTGTACAAACGCACAATTTAAAGGCCATTGTCCACTAAGAGTAGCCAGGATTCCTTGAGGAAATGACTGATGTTAGAACTGGGGCAAGGATTGTGTAAGATGAGCTTGAGGTGTTTTATAATGACAGAAAGCAAGGTAGCCATCAAATACTATTGAAGTTATGTGAAAAGAACCCAAGAGCAAGGATGAAGGGGGACCCTTTGGCCAAAGATGGAGCAGCTTGAACTTAAGAAAGAATAATGACTAATGGATTGAAACACATCTAATATCCACAAGCCCATGAATTCATTTATAGTAATACTAAAAAATAAAAATCTCTCGTCATTCACGCTTGTATCACCTAAGGAACCAAATCTTTATTTTACAATTGGTAAAAGGGGGAAAAAAATAAGCATTTATTCTATTATAGATTTCAGGATACCCAGATAGTTTGTAAGGGCACCAAATGTCACAGAACTAGTAGAATTAGAAAATTACTGTTCACAGCTCTTAATGAAGCTCTGGGACTAGGCAACAGCCACAAACAGTGGCTATTGGGATTATGAAGTGGAACATTGATGGGAAACTTATAATGGCTGGATCAAGCTAACAAAACCTGAACCCACTGATTATCTTAAATCATTAAAAGAGAGACAATCAGATGCCATGTGCCTCAATGCAATGCAACAGGAAATACACACGGTCTATGAAATATTCTTGCACAAAAACTGACCCTAAATCTAATCAAACTTCTAGATCTAACTTCATAAAATGGCAAGAAACATGGAGGACACAGAAACAGATCAAAACACCAAGTCAATATGAGCAGCTGAACTAAGGATACAGGAAATTTCACAAATTATCTAGTTTCTTCGATAAATTACTCAGTTCAGTTCAGTCACTCAGTTGTGTCCGACTCTTTGCAGCCCCATGAACCGCAGCATACCAGGCCTCCCTGTCCATCGCCAACTCCCGGAGTCCACACAAACCCATGTCCATTGTGTCAGTGATGCCATCCAACCATCTCATCCTCTGTCGTCCCCTTCTCCTCCCGCCTCTCAAGCTTTCCCAGCATCAGGGTGCCAAGTCTGCCATACTGCCGTCCATGGGGTTGCAAAGAATCAACGTGATTAAGAGACTGAACAACAACTATCTGCTTTCATTTTCTGAATGAGATTGTTTTCTGAAAGAGTTTGGGTTTTTTTTTTTTTTTTTTTTTTTTTTTTTAGTAAATGTTTGGTTGAATTCACCAGTGAATGATTCAATATATGTATTGCAAAATGATCACCACAAGAAGTCTGGTTAATGCCCATCACTACACAGTTAAATGTTTTTTCTTGTGATAAGAACTTTTAAGATGTATTCTCTTAGCAACTTTCAAATAAATAATACAGTGTTTATTAATTATAGTCACCATGCTGTACATTACATGCCAGGACATATTTATTTCAAAACTAGAAGTTTATGCCGTTTGACCACCTTCACCTATTTCGTCTGCCCCCTTCTCCGCCTCTGGCAATCACCGATCTGTCCTGTTTCTATGAACTTGTTATTTATAAAAATGCTTCTATGTTTTTTAAAATTATTTGTTAGAAAATCAATCCTCAAACTTTTTAGCCTCAGAAGCCTTTACATGCTTTAAAAATTATTGAGTCATACTCACAAAGATAACTGGAAACTAAAACACCGAAAATAAATTTTTCTAAGGGTGTGGAGATGGTGAAACACTCATACAGTGGTGGTTGAAATGTAAAATGGTGCAGCTGTTGTGGAAAGCAGTTTGATGGTTTCTCAAAAAGTTAAATATAGACTGCATGCATGTGTGCATGCAAGTCGCTTCAGTTGTGTCCGACTCTTCACGACACTATGGACTGTAACCTGCCACACTGCTCTGTCCATGAGATTCTCCAGGCAAGAATACTGAAGTGGATTGCCATGCCCTCCTCCAGGGGATCTTCCTGACCCAGGGATTGAACCCACATCTCTTACATCTCCTGCACTGGCAGGAAAGTTCTTTACTACTATCACCACCTGGGAAGGCCCCTAAATATAGAATAACAAAGAATTAATCATATGAGACCCAGCAACTCTATTCCTAGGTAGGTAGCCAAGAGAACTAAAAACATGTATTCATACAAAAACTTAGATGCAAATGTTCCTAGCAGCAGTATTCATAACAGCCCAAAATGAAAGCAACCTAAAAGCCCATCCACTGATGAGCAAAAGGTGGTGTATACCTGCCATGGAACATTATTCAACCGTAAAAAGGAATGGGGTTTTGATATCTGCTGCAATATGAGTGAACTTTAAAGACATTATGTTAAATGAAATTATCCAGACATTAAGGATTTCATTTATATGAGATGTTCAGGGTTGACACATCAGTGAAGTCAGAAAGGGATTGAGGAGGAACTTCTCTGGTGGTCCAGGGGTCTAAGACTCTGTGCTTCTAATGTGGAGTGCATAGGTTTG